TTTGAGCGTCCTTCGTCCCCGTTGCCCCGTTACTTCCCTACAGGGGCAGGGCCTAGAGAGAATAGGAAGCGTGTTCTTGTATTTCCCGCCCTTTCCCCCCCCCTTCTCTTGTTCTTACGTCATTCATTAAAGGTGAAGGAAGAAGGAACGAATAAAATTTAACTATAAGAAGAAAACAAGGCAACAACGACTGTGTCGGAAAGGCGGGCTCGCGCTCTCCAGGAGCGCGCGCGAAAGGGCGGGCCCGAACGCGGGGCGGAGCTGGGGGCGGGCAGGGGGCGGGACTGCGGTTTCGGTCCCTACGAAGGTGGCGGCCGAGACCTCGGCGGTAGTGAGTGGGTGAGTGGGGAGACAGCCGGTGAGCAGCTGGTTGGGGTTGGATTGCCGGGGATGCGGCGGGACTTCTCTAGGGGGCTCGACCTATCCTCTCTTTTCCCTCTCTTCCTTGACAGAAGCCAGGCATAGGGTTTTCCAGCCTAGGTACTAGTGGTGTTGCCTGCATCCGGGCCCCGGGCTTCCCGGCGGCGACGAAGAGATATGGGTATCCTAGAGATCGGGCCTCTTACATGTTTTCCCGCGTGTTGTCCCTGAGCCCGTCCCTCCCGGGTAACCTGCATGAGGCGGTCGGAGTGTTCCAGGAGAAGAAGCCCCTGGGCACCAAGCAGTCTGGCCTGGGAGAAGCCCGGAGGGCGGACCCCGCGCGGCTCCTTCGGACCGAAACAGAGTCGGAGGGGAACCGAGAGGGTCCCTGTCCTCGAGGAGATTATGTAGGGTGGGGATGTGGGTGCGCACGTAATCCATGCCTACAGGAGAATGTCATTAGTTTCTAAAGAGTGCTGATGTCTTGTCAATTTGGACAGCGGTTCTAGACTAGTTTGTGTTCCCATTCTTTGGTGCAGTGTCCGGTTGCTTCACAGCTTCGCGGTTATACAGTCTTCTTACTTAAAGGAAGTGACTGTTGTGACTGGGGTATCTCTTGATTGATGGTATCAGTTGCAAAGAGAAGTGCACTGATTACACGTCTACTGTATTCTTATGGGGTCTGGCCACGGTGAACTCTACCAGACTTATGTATTCGTGAGGAGTAAACAACCTCAAACCTTCCAGTTCGCTAACTTGCCCAAAAGGGATGGCCCTTTAGCAGTGGAAATTGTTAGGCTGTAGTAGAGTAACAACGTGATTGTGGCCAATGGGTAAATTCCTTTATGAACTGTTCCCATCCTTCAGTGGTGGGACACAGCAAGCACTGTCTGATATTGTGCTTTGTGCAGAAGATGCACTTTGTAATACATGTAGCGTAGTCTGAGAACATCACAGGAGATTAGGAATAAGGCAGAATACTTGATGGTATTATGAGGTCTGCCATTCTAGGAAAAACCCTGAATCAGTTGGCAACTACTCACGATGACTGTGCTCTCTATACATAAGGGGGGAGGGGAACTGCAGAAATTATAGACTACGTTGATGATTGTGAACTAACTGACCTTTCACCAACATGCTCTAGGAAACAATTACAATAGAGGCTGAAAAAAAATTTTTTTTTTTCCATTTAAAAAGCCCCTTTATTTGGTTACCTTGTAGTTATTGTGGATATGTGCCCTAAAGTCAGCCCCAACTCATAGCCACCCCTCCTTGGGTTTCTGAGGAGGTGTCACTACGAAAGTAGATTGCCCAACCTTCCTTAGCAGTCCAGAATTTGTTTTAAGAAAAAGAAGTAAAAAATGATGAAGAAGAACTATCTTTAAAGTGAACCCTTGGGCTCTATTATTTAGTAATGCTAAGTGACTGGTAGGAGATCTGGTAACATAGTGCCTAAGGCACTTGACTGCTAACCAGAAGGCTGGAGGTTCAAACCCCAGCCACTCCTCAGAAGGAAGGTTGGGCAATCTACTTCTGTAGTGATAATGCCTCGGAAACTCAAGGAAGGGTCGCTATGAGTTGGGTCCGACTTGAACGCCAAACAACAACAAGTGACTGGTAGGTTGGTTATCCTGCCTGTTATCTGAGAAATTTAGATCTGGAAGAGATGGTTACCTTCAAGTGACATCATGAACTTCATCTCTTGGGTCTCACTGGATATAAAAGAAAGACTGCAAACAGTCTTGTATTACAAACATTTCACTAGCATGAAAGTGGGCCTGGGTAGCTCCTGTTTGGAAGGTGGGCTGGTTTAGAGGACCTTCTCTTAGGGTTGAGTCAAAACAAAACAAAACAAAAATATATGAAGCATGATACAAGTATGGATTGATGATGATGGAATTCTGTTTTATAATTAAAACAGTGGGCCATCCAGCATCTTAAATACTGATTAGAAAAGGCATGGCTTATTTTTGGCAGAATTTTAAGAAAATGCAAAAACAAACCTACCACTCTGATAACAGTTTTGGCAGGTGCTAATTAATACAATTGTTATGTTTACAAATGTTGGACTGTTTTCAGGAAATGTATTAGGTAAACCCTCATGACCTTTGTGCTGTGTTTATAGGAGTGGCAAGTCACCATCTTACCTAACTTAGGGCCGGCTTTTGCTCAGAGGACTCCTCTGGTTGAAGTTTGTTAACCTACAGGAGTAACCAGTCCTACATGTGCATAAGATATGTAGAGAAAAGATTATTGACTTTTGAACTGATACTTTTCAGCCACGTTTGTATATATGGATTTTCCTGACCAAAGATGACTTCAAGTGCTAGTAAAATCGTTTTTACAACTCCTAGATTTACTTGGGAACTCTGGTAGCATAGTGCTTAAGGCATTTGACTGCTAACCAGAAGCCTGGCAGTTCAAACCCACCAGCCACTCCTCAGAAGGAAGGTTGGGCAATCTACCTCGGAAACCCAAGGAGCGGTCACTTTGAGTTGGATTGACTCGACAGCAGTGATCACTCACAGATTTACTTCACTGTGACATTTAATTTCTCAGATTATTTCTTTTGTAGGATTTAAAGCTAAACAATTCAGCATGATCTTGTCCTTCCTTTTCTTTCAAATTATACTAGTAGTGAGAATTAATGTAATTAGTGGTATATAGTAGTTTAGTTTTCACAGAGGTAAAACGTTTTCCCATAATTCAATCAGGTTTTGCCCTTGGCTCAGTTCAGTTTTAGGAAATGTTTTATTTTCATTGAAATGATGAAATGTTTGAGTTGTAATATTGCATTTATGACTATTTTTTTAAGTATAAAAGAAAAAATATTTTTACAATACAATTTTATGGCTTTGTGTTTACTTAATTCATCTTCTTGGCCTCCAGTTTACTGTTTTTAATGATGAGAGCAATAGCATCATTACAATTTCAATTCCAATTACATTCCTGTATTCTATATTATTGTAGGCTGTTATGTATCCAAAACAATAGATTTTTGAATGAGCTGTACAACTTAATATCCAGTGTAGTTTCTTAGAGCTATTATATTAATATAACAGACAATAAACATTACCTAAATGAACTTCTGAAATAAAAGATACACAAGTAAAAACTATCTTTATCAACCACATACTTAAGATTAAATGTTTTGCCAAGCTCTGTACACCTATTCTTAATATGCTAATAGTGCTAATCCAATGTACTAAAAATAGAATTCACTGCTTTTCATCAGTCTCTGAAGTCTTGACAAGATGTAGATAAAATAAGTACAATGGTTCACTTTGACATAAATATGCAGATCAAATAATAGTTCCCAAAGCAACCATACAGGCAAAGATAAATTAGCTTCTCTCCATTGCTATAATAAGTTGTTGTTGTTGTTGTTGTTGTTATTTGCCGTCGAGTCGGTCCTGACTCATAGCAACCCCTCCTTGGGTTTCCGAGGCAGTATCACTATGGAAGTAGGATTGCCCAACCTTCCTTCCAAGGAGTGGCTGGTGGGTTTGAACCGCCAGCCTTCTGGTTAGCAGTCAAGTGCCTTAGGCACTATGCTACCAGAGCTATAATAAGTAGATTCCACAATTTTAGAGTTCCTTAAATGAAATTGTCTTTTTTTTTTCCACTTTTGGGGTTCAAATAAATGTATTCACTTTTGGTATTAGATAGAAATGATTAGCTTTGCGTTGATATCATATAGAATACTTAATTTTAGAGTGACTTAATGAGTAGACTAAGATACCAACTTGAACAAGGGAACCAAGAGACCTGGATTCTAGCCTGGCTCTGTGACTTTGGGAGGTTCATTCTTTGTGTCTGTGTTCTCAGTAGATTGAAAGGCTTGGATAGAATGACTTCTGGGACCCATCCACACCTTTCATTCTCTACCTGTTCTAAATAACTAAAGTTTTTTTTATTTTAGCCATTTAGAAGATAACTCTTTTGCCAATGAAATAATGCTATACTGCTTTCTGAAGTAGCATAATAAATGTTACATACCTTTGTCTTGATGTTTCAGTGTCCTTTTAAATGCCAGATGGGCCTTTAGTATCCTGATACCCAGAGAGGTCACTGAGGAGAGATAACAGGACTGTTTGCTCATTTTGTGTTATGGTTTCAGATTGTTGTGCTTTTGCCTTCTTTTGTCTGTTTCATTGGTCCTTTTATGACCATTAAGGTATTTCTGTTGTCAGGCACCATGGTCTGTAGCTGAGCTCTCCCCTTCCTGATCTTTTCTTTAGTTGCTATGCCTTTGGAAATAAATAGCCAATCGTGTTAGCCAATCACATAAATTTAGACTAGGTATTTGAAAACATTGAGAGTCTGTGAGCTTTATAACATTTCATATGAATGTTCAGAGGCCCTTTTTTTAGTTTATATAATTCTGGGTTACTAAATGTATACTTTGAATAAAAATGACAAATTACCATATCTCATAAAATTATCACATCTACAAACATTTAATGTGCACCTATTATGCTAGCTGAATATCTTTATCCTGGTTCCTGGTAGGAGGCGTACTTCCAAATCTTTTCTATTTAAAGGGGAGGAAAACATGTAAGTCTAAATAAATTGAGTTTTTGATGGATATCTTTAAAATTGCTGAAACTAACCATTGGTTTTTATATGTCATTGTTTAGAAATCTCTGGAACACTTGGATAATGTGACAATTGTGATGCAGTGATGTCGACTCTCTGTCCACCACCATCTCCAGCTGTTGCCAAGACAGAGATTGCTTTAAGTGGCGAATCACCTTTATTAGCAGCTACCTTTGCTTACTGGGACAATATTCTTGGTCCTAGAGTAAGGCACATTTGGGCTCCCAAGACAGAACAAGTACTTCTCAGTGATGGAGAAATAACTTTTCTTGCTAACCACACTCTAAATGGGGAAATCCTTCGAAATGCAGAGAGTGGAGCTATAGATGTAAAGTTTTTTGTCTTGTCTGAAAAAGGAGTAATAATTGTTTCTTTAATCTTCGATGGAAACTGGAATGGGGATAGAAGTACATATGGATTATCAATTATACTTCCACAGACGGAACTTAGTTTCTATCTCCCACTTCACAAGGTGTGTGTTGATAGATTAACACACATTATTCGGAAAGGAAGGATATGGATGCATAAAGTGAGTGCTTTTGAACTTACTGATCAAGCTAACTTGGCATTGAAAGTTAATCTTCTGATATATTTGTATCTGATTTTTCAAAATTTTTTACACAATTAACTTTAAAAATATGCTATCATGTATTTGTGTCTGCCCCATTAGACATACGTAGATGTGGTCCAGTATCTGTGATCTTCATGATAACCTTGCAAGGAAGGGATAGTACCTCCCCATTACCACATAAAATGCTAAAGCTTAGAAAAATTAAAAAACAAAAAGTTTCAGATTTGTATTGGGAGCCGTTGACTCAAAGAGCTGGATGCTTTTCTGCACTGCATAACCCTTTACTTAATACTGTGCGGAGGGATAAGTGATTAGAAACAGTTGTTTCATAAACAGTTGGTCAGGTAGCCTCTGATTCCTTTACCTTCTTTGCCAGGTTCTCAAGTTGGTAAAGTGAGGAGGTTGGACTAAATGATTTCTAAGAGATAGATTGCCTTTTAATTTTGCAGATTTAAGCTACAGAAAATTATTGTTACCCCTAAATCCTATGTTGTTGTTGTTGTTATGTGCCGTTGAATCGGCCCTGACTCATAGCGACTCCTCCTTGGGTTTCCGAGGCAGTATCACCATGGAAGTAGGATTGCCCAACCTTCCTTCTGAGGAGTGGTGGTGGGTTTGAACCTCCAGCCTTCTGGTTAGCAGTCAAGTGCTTTAGCCACTATGCTACTAAATCCTATAGTTCATATAAAATGATAAGTACATGTCCCTATACCTTTGGCAGATCTAAAGAACAAATTTAATCCTCTTTCCTATTTTCTAGTGTGATACCAACCTGGTAGTCCATGTAAGCATTATTGACTTTATAAGACTTTTACCAAGTAGAAAGGAAAAATAGTATCTTTCCAAAAAATAGGGGGTTTTGTTTTGTTTGTTACTGTGTTTCAGGCTTGCTTTCTTATTTTCATATGTTTATGAAAATTTTAAGTGTAAAATCAGGAAGCCGTATCTTTTGCAAATTAAACTTGATCTTGTTTAGTTTGAAAAGTTCAAGTCATTATTTTCCCTTGCAGAACGATACAGATGTTAAATGACTGCTTTCTGCTTAGTTGTCTGGTTTTGACTTTAGAATAAATGGTGTCTTTATTTTATTTTGTGTTGTCTCTGAGAGCATGATTTTGTTGGGTTAATTTCCTGTCTTTTTTAAATTTTTTCATTTTTTTACCCTACAGTGGAAAGTATTTTTCCTATGAAGTAAAAATTATACAAGAGCATAAGTCTGAGTATTAACAAAGTTTTGAAAAATAAGCATTTTAAAAAATTATTATTAAATAAACTTTCTCTCACTCAGGAAAGGCAAGAAAATGTTCAGAAGATTGTCTTAGAAGGTACAGAGAGAATGGAAGATCAGGTAAAATGCATCTTGCATATTATCAGTAATATTCCTACTACATATGCCTGTAAAAGACTGATGGAGCTTTTTGGTAAGTCCTAGAAGATACATTCCTTGGGCAGAGTGACCCTGAAAATGAACAGAACCTTTATGGAGTGGTATAGAATAAACTGAATGAAAATTTCCAGGTCTTAGAGTAAAAAACAAAGAAATTGCCATTGAGTCAATTCTAACTCATAGTAGCCCAATAAGACAGGGTAGAACTGCCCCATAAAGTTTCCAAGGCTGTGCATCTTTGCGGAAGCAGATTGCCACATCCTTCTCCTGTGGATGGCTGGTGGAGCTAACCACTGCACCACCAGGGTTCCTTATCTTAGACTACAAGAATTAAATAAATAAATAAAGGATAATAGTCATTCTATCTACAGTTTAATGTTTTGCTACCTATTGTCTGTGCACAGAAAAAAAAAGTTTTGTATGATTTATTCATAGTGAAAATTAAAGCTTTTATGTGAGACTTTCTTTAAGGTATTGCTTCTCAAACATTTCCACAAAGTCATTGTAATTGGAGGAGAGTAGGTGTACCCCTCAGGTGTCTGAAAGTACAGCCATAGCTCTGAGCTCAATTTTCTTTGATGTCTCATGTTATATCTTTAAGACTCATGCAGTTTGCATTTTGTTCTATGACACGGCTATTCATTTTAATATTAAAATTTGCCAGTGACTTTTCACCCTTACCACATACCCCCCTAGGTTTCCAGTAACATTGATTCTCTAGGAAAACATGCCATGTTTATCCCATGGCTTTGAATACCTTTGGGGAGCAGGCACCAAAGTTGAAGAAGCGTGATCATAAGATTATAGCATCTCTTGTGGAAATTAAGTACATAGCCTTTCTGTAGGGCAGAGAAGTTCTCCTGAAGCAAAATTTCCAAGGGAGAAGGAGTCCTTTAGTTTAATCATGTTACCCTTGGCATATTACCTTCACTGCTTCTTTTTGTAAAAGCATAAAAATATGGCTAGATTGCCTTTTATCTGGTTCTTCATAGTGTGACTGAGGAAAATAGCTTCTTCAAAAGTTTATGAAAATGTAGGGACATAAATAATGAAAGTACACAACCTAATAAAATGTTCTTCTTTACAAAATTAATATGTTTGTACTTCTGTAAATAGCTTTTTAGCCAGAGGGGGGTAATTCTGGGGAAGAGTCTGAGATTTATAAGAAGCCCAGCTTTCACTTGTAGTGTGATCAGTGGACGGGGTCCCCAGGAGTGGGGTAACTCAACTCTCACCAACTTGTAGAAGTACCTGAAGGTCAGGGAGTAATAAAGTAGAATTATCTCAAGATGGAAATTTAGAACCCAATGAAATTATGCTTTTATTAGAATTTTTTTTTCCAAACTAGGAATTTGTAGTTATAAAATTGCCTGCTTTTAATGAATTTCTATAGTTACCTCTTTTAAGAGTTCTTAGAAATGTTATCCTATCCCATCTATGTCTGAAGGAAAGTATATATGACACAAACTTACTCTGGATTTTTTAAAAGGAAACACATTACCTTGGTGAGAAGTCCAAGTTAGAGTAGTCAAAGGAAAAAAAGAAACTTGGGGAATTTTCAACCTTACGGGATTTTGTTAGTGAATTTCAATGAGGAAATTCATTTGCTGAGATACCATGTATAAAATCCATTTGCTGAGATATCATATATGCCTACATATAATAGAAGATATTTTGCCAAAAAAAGAACCTTGGTGCACAGTGATTATGTGCTTGGCTATTGACTGAAAGGTCAGTGGTTCGAACCCAGGAGTGGCTCCATGGAAGAAAGATGTGGCAGTCTGCTTCCATAAAGATTTACAGCCTTATAAACACTATGGGGCACTTCAGCTCTGTCCTAGATGGTCACTAGGAGTTGGAATTGACTTGACAGCAATGGCTTTCAGGTTTATTTTCACAAAATTGTCCTTTCTGAGAAAGTCCCTGCTAATCTTCATATGTGCCTTCAATAACTTCATTGAAGTATCTAAGGCATTTGACTGCTAACCAGAAGGCTGATGGTTCAAACCCACCAGGCACTACTTGGAAGAAAGACAGGGCAATCTACTTCTGTAGAGATACTGCCTCAGAAACCCAAGGAAGGGTCGCTAGGAGTCAGAAACAACTCAGTGGCAGTGAGTTGTTTTTTTTTTTTTTTCAGTTCTGGGGATGACAGACTAAAAGAGAAAAAAGAAAATCAATGCTAATTTTAGATGCTTAAGGCATTTGACTACCAACTAGAAGGCTGGTAGTTCAAACCTGCCAGCCACTCCTCAGAAGGAGGGTGGGGCAATCTACTTCCATAGTGATACCGCCTTGGAAACCCAAGGAGGGGTTGCTATGAGTTGGATCTGACTCGACGGCAGTGAGTTCAGTTTTTGATTTTTATAGCTGTCATCTGACAAAATCACTTTAAAAGGAAGCAAATTTCAGAGAGTCATTAGATTGCTTTCTGTTGGTTATAATTGTGCTGTAGAGGGCAGTACAGAATTAATTTGTTAAAATAATAAAACTTTTTATATTATGCATTGTTGAAAGCATCTACTTATCTATGCCAAGAAGTTTGAAAGATAGCTACCTGGCCACAGACTGGACTAGATTCATATTTGTGATAATTGGAGTTGTGTGTCAACTTGGCTGGACCACAATTCTGAGTGGTTTAAGCAGTTGTGATGTGGGTCATTCCCATGATGAGATCAGATGTATATGTTTTGAGCAGCCAGTCGGTTGAAAGGGAGTTTCCCTAGGGGTGTGGCCTGCTTCCAATATATTTATGGACATCCTGGGAAAAAGAGACACTTTTCTATGGATTGGGATCCTGTTTATGCTGCCTACAACTGTCCATGAGCAAACAATCCACCATTCAGCCTGGAGATCTTGAATTCGTCATCCATTGGAGTCCACAGCTGGTATACTGCCTACCATTGTTGAGCTCGTCAGCCCCTGCAGCTGTGTGAATCGGGAAATGCCTCCAGCTTGACGTTTGATCCAAGAATTTGGGACTTGCCAGCTGCTATAAGTGTGTGAGCCATTTTCCTAAGATAAATTTCTCTCTCTCTCTCTCTCTCTCTCTCTCTCTCTCTCTCTATATATATATATATATATGCTTTTCTGGTTTTATTTCTTTAGAGAACCCAGCCTTGTACATATTTGTGCACATTCCAAAGAAAGGTGAACCAAGAGAATGCAGAAATTATTGAACAATATCATTGATACTACATGCCAAGCAAATTTTGCTGAAGATAATTTAAAGTTGGTTGTGGAAGTACCTTGACAGGGAACTTCCAGAAATTCAAGCCAGATTCAGAAGATGTGGAGTGAAGAATATCATTGCTTTTGTCAGATGCATCTTGGCTGAAAGCAGAGAATACCAGAAAGATGTTTGCTTGTGTTATATTTCCTTTGAAAATACATTCAACTCTGTGGATTATAACAAATCATGGATAATATTGCAAAGAATGAGAATTCTAGAACACTTAATTGTGCTCATGAGGAATCTGTACATAGATCAAGAGACAGTTGTTCGAACAGAGCAAAGGAATAATGCAAGGTTTAAAATCAGAAAAGGTGTTCATCAGGGTTGTATCTTTTCACCATACTTACTCAGTCTGTATGCTGAGCAAATAATCCAAGAAGTTGGACTATATGAAGAATGTGGCATCAAGATTGGAGGAAGACTCATTAATAACTTGTGATATGCAGATGACACAACTTTGTTTGCTGAAAATGAAGAGGACCTGAAGTACTTAATGATGAAGAGCAAAGATTACAGCTTTCAGTGTGGATTATGCCGCAACATAAAGAAAGCAAAAATCCTCACAACTAGCTTAAGAAGCAACATCATGGTAAACAGAGAAAATACTGAAGGTATCATGGATTTCATTTTACTTGGATTTGTAATCATTGCCTGTGGAAGCAGCAGTCAAAAAATCAGATAACATACTGCACTTGGCAAATCTGCTGCAAAATATTTTAGAATTTTAAAAAGCAGAGGTATCGCTTTGAGGACTGAGATGCCCCTGACCCAACCTATGGTGTGCAGTCTCCTCATAGGCATTTGAAAGCTGGACAATGAATAATAAGAAAGAGCGAAGAAAAAATTGATACCTTTGAATTGTGGTTTTGGCAAAGAATGTTGCCTATACAGTGGACTGCCAGAAGTATGTCTTGGAAGAAGTGCAGCCAGAATGTATTGCATCTTATAAGTGAAAGTGGCAAGACTTCATTCACATACTTTGGGCAGGAGGAGCCAGTCATCATGCTTGGTAAAGTGAGGGTCAACAAAAAAGAGGAAGACCCTCAAAGAGATGGATTGACAGAGTGGCTGCAACAATGGGCTCAAACACGGCAGCAGTTGTAAGGATGACCCACCACCAGGTAGTGTTTAATTTTGTTGTACGGAGGGTTACTATGAGTCAGTACCAGCAACAGTATTATGCAAATGGGCTGTGGCTTAAGATAAAAGCTCTAAAGACACCATTACGTTTAAATTCACAAGCAACTTACATGATTAAAAAAAAAAAAAAAGCCTTCAAATCACTTCCCACTCATAGTGACCTTATATGTCAGAGTAGAACTGCCCTGTAGAGTTTCTGAGTCTATAAATCTTTATAGAATTAGACTGCCTCATCTTTCTCCCTTGGAATAGCTGGTCGGGGTAGGTTCAAACAGTGACGGTTTGGTTAGCAGCCAAATGCTTTAACCACTGTACCACCTGTGCTCCTTTACATGATAAGGGACTCTGAAAAATTGGGTTAGGCTACCCAAAAAGTGGCTGCAGTGATGATAGAAAAAAAACAAAAAAACATACTCATTCCTTGGGTTTCCGAGGAAGTATCACTATGGAAGTAGACTGCCCAATCTTCCTTCCGAGGTTCTATAATGTTGAAGATGCATGTGAAGAGTTTTGGTAAAATGTTTCATGAAATATGATGGGGGGGGGAACTATTGTTAAATTAATCTTAAACAATATGTGATTTAAACATTTTTTAGCTAAAATTGGTAATTTGACAACTTCTATATCTCTAAAGGTTTGCATATTCAAACTGGTCAAAAAACTGGGGAGTGTTGAATAAATGAGAACATTTATTTATATTGTTCTATATTGAGTCTTCAGTTTGATTCCTAAAAACTATAAATTTCACAATTACATTTTTGAGATGTAATAAGTAGGAGTATTATCTTGAAAGAACTCTAAAGGAAACTTTTCTGGTTTTTTGCTTCTTAAATACATGTAATGGTGTTTATTTGCATTTGGGTCGATTGTACCCTATTATGAAAGTGAAGGTTGAATACAGATTCAGGCTTTACTACTAAGTCATTTGCTAAGTCCTTCAAAGATTTTCTAAGCTTGGCTTTCCTCATTTTTGTATATGAAATGCTTTGATGACCTTTGATTAACAAAGGTTTTTAACACCTTAAATTTCAAATGAGATCCTTTTTTAATTTAGCATAGTGATTTATTGCATGTAACAGTAAATGATAAACCAGTGATTCTATGCTGAGCAGGGAAAATTACTCTTAGAAGAAATGAAAATGAGCTTAAAATAGCATATGAATTGTTTGGAATAGTAGACTTGTTTGGGGCAATGTTTGAACAAGTTACCAAGTAATTCCATCAAAGAGTATTATTCTTTGCTTTCATTTTTGTTTTATTGCCCAGCTTATCCCATATAGTGTGATTTTGTTCATCTCATTTTACTCTGTTATTCAGGGTCAGAGTATTATTCCAATGCTGACTGGGGAGGTAATCCCTGTAATGCAACTGCTTTCATCTATGAAATCACACAGTGTTTCTGAAGAAATAGATGTAAGTTCTTGTTTATATTATCAAGTAGAAGTAAATGTATGCATTATCAATTCCTTTTCACTTTATTATTATTCTGTTATTAGTAATATTCTAATTTTAGTAGTATGCATTTTTGTTTTATGTATTATTTGTTTGACTTATTATCTACTTTAACAAAAAGCACAAATAATTTTATGAATTTTATGGCCAGAGACTTGTTGATCAGCAGTTGTTAGGATAAAATTAATTGTTTTTAGTTCATTTCACCACTTTTGTATTTCTAAAAGTGGGAGAATTCCAGACCTTAAAGAAGCAATCAATATCTATTGCAGTGCTCTTTCTAACAAAGCTGTGTACAAATCAGTGGCTGTTAATAGAAGTTAATTTATATTCACTAATTTGGTTCCCTTCATCATTTATTGAGGACACTTTAAATCAAGCATTGTGTGTACATAGAGGTATCTTCAAGATCCTATTCATGTTGCATTCTGACTTTGTCATTTAGACTTGTCTCATGGTTCTGACAAAAAGAAGAAGCTCTTCTTTTAAAACTTGTTGCACGACCTGCCTGACCAGCTTTCACATTTGTTCTTCTGAAAGTATATGGTAGTATATGGAGGTTGTTTTATGGGGACTTTTGATGCTGAGAAATGTGGACACTGTGTTAATATTGGAACTAGGCTTCAGAAAACTTCAAAGTGTTATTTTGATATTTTGTGCCAGACTAATTGTCTTTTTGGTGTGTTTCAGATAGCTGATACTGTACTGAATGATGATGATATTGGTGATAGCTGTCATGAAGGCTTCCTTCTCAAGTAAGAGTTTTGTTTCTTCTAAAAGCTGGATGAAGCAGATATTAATCTTATGCATTCCTATGACAAGATTTAGAAGGAAGAAAATACGACAGAAGAAAATATAGCCTAGATTATTCTGTAGACATCATTGCATATATGAACTATTGCTTAGCTTTCCCCACCCCCCCCATTACATGTTTGTGTCGTATTGATGTTCTGCTATTTAATACTTAAAAACCTGAGTTACGTAATACCCAGACAGGAAATCTTTGTCCCTTGTTTGGTTCTGGTTCCTTGTTTTAGTTCTCATTGAAGCTGAAACTGAGAACCCTTTCGAATTAAGTTTCATTGTAAATAGGGGCTTAAAGTACTTAGGCCCAGAAAAAAGAATTACTTAGGTTTATACTGATCCTTTCCATCTTAGCGTAAAGCTTAGTACTTAGCACTGTTGTTTGTAAAACCAGATTGCTTGGGTTACTGCTACAGCCCTGGGCAAGGTACCTGAACTCATTGTGCCTCCATTTCTTCATCTATAAAATAATAGTAGGGAATAATAGTAGTATCTACTTCATAGGATTGTTATAAGGGTTAAATGAGATAAATCATATAAAGCATTTAGGACAGAACTTGATGCATAACAAGCACTTACCACTTCCTTACAACTATTAGCTAGCATTTTTTATTTCTTTTTCTTCTAAGGTAAATGATAATAGCAATTAATATCTAATGTTTGTATATTTTGTGCCTACATGTTAGTCCCTTGTTAAGTGCTAAACCAAAAGAAAAAAAAGCTATACCAAAAAAAAAAAAAAGTGCTGTAATGTATTATCTCATCTTCTGTTATAGGATTTCCTTGCAATTGCATATTGTCATGAAATTTCTTTTTTAAAACTGAGAAGTAGAAAGATAAAGTGTTTGCTTTTGTGTCCTCAGTCTTTTACTTTAGGCTCATGATGAAATATCAGAGTGTGATAACTTATAAGCCTTAATGACTTGAATCAGGAGCACTTTAGTCCTGATTCTGCTCAGTGACAGCCATACATTTTTTAAAAAACCCCATTGGACTTTAAACTAATTGATTGACCTCTCTACACCTCAGTTTCTTCAGCCAAAAAATGTTTCTGTTTTGCTAACTAGTTTGCCTTAAGGTTCAGATGAGAGAATCTCTGTGAAAGACCTCTTGAAAATGCAAAAAAGTTACTGCCATCAAGTCAATTCTGACTCATGTTGACCCCTGTTGGGTTTTCAAGGTGGTAAATCTTTACAGAAGTAGATTGCCCCATTTTCCTTCCATGGAGCAGCTGGGGAATTTGAACCACCAACCTTCTGGTTAACAGTCATATGCCTTAGGTACTGTGCTACCAGAGCTCTTTTTGAAAATATAAAATACTATGTAAATAAGGCATTTGACTACTAACCAGAAGGCTGGCAGTTCAAACCCAACAGCCACTCCTTGAAAGGAAGGTTGGGCAATCTACTCCCGTAGTGATACCACCTTGGAAACCCAAGGAGGAGTCGCTATGAGTAGGCTCCAACTTGACAGCAGTGAGTTATGCAAATAAAAGATGGCATTATACTTGTAGCCTTGGTGTTCATCATGTAAAAAAACTGTTCTCAGTTATTTGGAAGTCACTTGCATTTTCTCTTTTTAGTTGTGATATTGTTTTATTATCAGTGTTTTTAATCTTTTTTCTTTAACTTACAGTGCCATCAGCTCACACCTGCAAACATGTGGCTGTTCTGTAGTCGTAGGTAGTAGTGCTGAGAAAGTAAATAAGGTAATTTATTTTTTAATTCCACAAATGATCTCACTTTTTAATGCTACTACCATATTATAGATTGTAATTTAAAGGTTAGGTAGCAGTTAAAGATAATTTAATAGTATAGAGAAGCAATATAATCTGACCAAATTGCTGTTATATCTTGTGAAAAAAGTAAGTTTGAAATAAACTGTTTGGATATGAAATTATTTATCAGTTTCATTTTGATTACTCATAAATATAAATCTCTATAT